TAATTTATCATGATTTAATCCTTAAATTTACTTTGAATGTATTTCGGAGGTTTTAATGGATCCATTTCTTTTTAATCATTTATCAATAAAGACTTAAAAAATGTTTATAGATTGAGAAAACTCGGGCATTCTGTAGTGCAGGTTATGAAAATGTAATTTTTCTGTATCTTAGGTGAGACCAAGAAGTTTAAACTTTACTATGATTTATACCCCAGTAAAAACTTAACTTGACAGTATAAAAGACATTTATCCAATGATAAAAATGTAATAGTTAAATACTACAACTAGTTTATAAACGAATTATCACAGGAGTCGCTGGATTATAAATGACGAGCTAAAAGAAAATACACCATGTAAAGTATTTATTGTTTTGTTTTTAAATGCAAAATAAATATTTCACTCTTCTTTACAGAAGTACACAATCTGTAACAATGACAAAAAATAAAACTTTATGTCTGCACTGGATTATTTTCTTTAAAAAAGAAAAAAAAATGGTTCTCTCTCTTTCTGTTCTTTTTTTTTTTTTTTTGGAGGACAGGGTGTTAATAACAGTGTCGAGAAAGAATTTCACACCCACTTCAAGCATTGGCTGGGCATCGACCACATGATACGAACAAGGTTATAAAGAATCGGTTGTAATAAAGAATGGATTTGGGATAGAACCACTCTCTCCGGCAAAAAAAAAAGCTGTACAAGGTGTACTTTCTTTAATAATAAATCCATTCATTATTAGTTTATACAAACATGTAAATCTCATCATGACCAATAATTTAACACTTAACTTGTATTGCATATTTAAAGAGTGTAAGAAAATTTGAAAAGATACTGTAGTTTTTGGGTAACCTAGGAGATATATACATTGTTTTTGTACACTTTGGCTCATATCTTGTTTTTGTAGATTGTTTGACACACAACTCTGTTGGAACTCAGGCTATCAATACCTGCACTAAGCATGAGAGTTTGTAAAAATATTGATTACAACACAGAATATTAACCATATGTTACAATGGTTTATCCTCAGAGTCTAAAGTATATAGCCATTGACAAGTTCTCAAAAGAAAAAAAAAAATGTTAGTTAGAATTTATGTAGTTATTTTTCTATTAATTGTTCCTTCTGGTCGAGTAAAGTCATCTTGTAAAGTCATTATTTAATATCTCTAGTGCACATTTGTGTATAAGGCATTTTAGTGCTAGAAATAAACAAATAAAAAATTTAAAGAAGCTCTTCTCATCGAACAACTACAACCACACATGAATGGGAACAACCAACAAAGAATGACAGTTCTCATTAAACAACTACAACCACACATGAATGGGAACAAACAACAAAGAATGACAGTTCTCATCAAACAACTACAACCACACACATGAATGGGAACAAACAACTACAACCACACACAAATGGGAACAAACAACAAAGAATGACAATTCTCATCAAACAACTACAACCACACATGAATGGAAACAAACAACTACAACCACACATGAATGGAAACAAACAACTACAACCACACACAAATGGGAACAAACAACTACAACCACACACAAATGGGAACAAACTACAAAGAACGATACCTGTAATTATAATTATCTTGTTTTTTCATCTGCAACTTGGGTAGAACTTTTGTTTACTCCAGGCAACAGTTAATTATTCCAACAATACGATTTATTCAACAATAAGCTTTACTACTTTATATGTGTTTACTACAGGCAACAGTTAATTATTCCAACAATACGATTTATTCAACAATAAGCTTTACTACTTTATGTGTTTACTATAGGCAACAGTTAATTACTCCAACAATACGATTTATTCAACAATAAGCTTTACTACTTTATATGTGTTTACTACAGGCAACAGTTAATTACTCCAACAATACGATTTATTCAACAATAAGCTTTACTACTTTATATGTGTTTACTACAGGCAACAGTTAATTATTCCAACAATACGATTTATTCAACAATAAGCTTTACTACTTTATGTGTGTTTATTACAGGCAACAGTTAATTACTCCAACAATACGATTTATTCAACAATACGCTTTACTACTTTATATGTCAAATGCAAGCTGTAGAAATTATTAGAATTTGTTATTCAAACCTATTGAAGCTTCGTACTGTCAGTTACAGTTTGTATTTTAGTAGAATGCCCCTGAAGAAGCTGTAAAGTGAAATGCCGAGTTTGCCATTAAAGAAAAACAACAAATTTTGGTGATTTAATGTCGTTTATTTCTATTATTAAAGTCATCTTGTAGCTAAAAATTAGAGTTTTCAATCAAAGAATGATAAAGACCATCCTTTAACACAATGCAGATGATGAGACAGGCAACACTAGCAACTGACTTTAGTATTGGGACCGACCCACACCATATGTTTAAACTCACATCTAGGATTTGTCATGTTAAAAGAATTTTGAATCACATTTCAATTTAGATCTACACTAATAAATTATTCATATTTTGCTGGCTTTACGAAACATGAAAAAAACAGATTTAGGATCTTCAGATTTACAAAGAGGGCTGTTATGTATCACCACTGATGTTAACAGGTAGAGCCAAGCACTCCACACGTTTTAATATCTTGGTCAAGATAACTTTCTCTCCTTCAGATAAAGCATCAGAATCAACCTTCTGTATCGAGCTTACAGGAAAGAATCCAAAGGAGAATAAATTGTATAAATAAGTTGTTCAGTGAAATTATAAGATGTATTCTGAAAGTTTGGTATGGTTTTGAATGTTACACAAAGCTACATGAGGGCTATCTGCACTAGCCATCCTCAATTCAGCAGTAATAGGATGTTAGTCATCACCACCCAGTTCTAACTCGTGGGCTACTTTTGTACCAGTGAATAGTGAGACTTACCAGAACTTATAATGCCCCTACGGCAGAAATGGCAAGAGTATGTTCAGTAATGGGGATTCGAACCTGTGACCCTCAGATTGCGACTCAAGTGCCTTAATCATCAGGCCCATTCTCAAAGAAAGGAATACTTTTTTTTTCTCATTCACTGTATACGAGTAACCTACTGTTGCAAATAATTGTCTTAATAGCTCAATATCTTTTAGCTACTGACAGGTCTCGCACAAAATGATAAAGCTAAGTCCTGTGTTACTCAACAATTAAAGAGTGAAGTCCAGAAGTTAGAGTGGGATATCAGTTTACACCCCACTTATAATCCTGTAACTTTCCTACTTTGTGTCCCTCAAGACGTGATGGTCTGTGTGGACAACATAATTCTTCGAGAAACAGTACACAGTTGAATCTTAAAACTGTATGAAGCACAGAGAATAAAGATACGCATCGTACTTATAAAGAGATTATAATGAAAAATCATACACGTTTCTACACAATTTCAACATCATTGATGCTAGTTGTAATCTAATAGCTACCTTCTTGTCAAGTTACAGTTGAAAACACATGTTGGGAAAATCTGGAAATGCTAGGCTTGGTTACAAGGAAGGAAAAGCATTTTAGTAATGTACACATGACATTCTATAATATTTAAAATGTTTCAGTGAACTAATCGAAAACTTCAATAACCTTCATTAACCTGTCAATGAACTAATTGAGAACTTCAATAATCTTCATTAACCTGTGAATGAATCAATAGATAACTTCAATAACCTATCCATGAACTAATCGAGAACTTCAATAATCTTCATTAACCTGTGAATGAATCAATTGATAACTTCAATAACCTATCCATGAACTAATCGAAAACTTCAATAACCTTCATTAACCTGTGAATGAATTAATTGAGAACTTCAATAATCTTCATTAACCTGTGAATGAATTAATTGAGAACTTCAATAGTCTTCATTAACCTATCCATGAACTAATCGAAAACTTCAATAATCTTCAATAGCCTGTCAATGAACTAATCTAAAATTTCAATAACCTTCATTAACCTGTGAATGAACTAATTGAGAACTTCAATAACCTACTTTAACCTATCAATGAACTAATCTAAAACTTCAATAATCTTCATTAACCTGTGAATGAACTAATCGAAAAGTTCAATAACCTTCATTAACCTATCCATAAAATCAATCGAAAACTTCAATAATCTATCCATGAACTAAACGAAAACTTCAATAATCTTCATTAGTCTATACACTGAAAACATAAAAGCAACGTGATTAATAACTTTTTGGCTGTTATCGATTCTACGTTTTGATACACAAAAATGTTTATTGTAGCGCAAAGCCACATTTGGCTACCTGCTCAGTCCACTGTGGGGAGTAGAACCCTGAATTTTTGTGTTTTAAGTTTATAAACTTACAACTGACTCACTAGGGGACATGGAAAAATGAGCTGGATGGTCAAATTCTATTACTAAGTCATGTTTCATAATGTGTAAAAATTCTAGTAAATTTGTATTTAATACAGTCTTCAGAATGTTACTGCCAAAATTTATAGTTAAACCATTTTTACAGTTGAAAAGTAAATATGGTGCAAGACTTGAATCTTTATATATTTAGAAAATTCACCGAAATTATAAAGTGTGTTCAGAAAAGTACAGAAGGTTCTTTCTTATACACTGGCATGTTTTTGGATACTTGTGCAAAGCTAGTCAAGGGCTGTATGCACTAACTGTTCCTAACTTTGAACTGATAGACTAAAGGAAAGGCAGTAAGTCATCATCACCCACCGCAACTCTTGTTGAAGCAAACAGTAAGGTATGAATGTCATATTAACAATGCAACCAGAGCCAAAAAAGTGTAGAACACACTAAAACACTCATTATTTTCTAACCTATGCACCATCTGGTGGTAGACATGGTAAAACTTTTAAAAAAACAGAACTCTTAATACTGTCACATAAAACTTAAACAACTGAATACCGATTTAACTGTTCAAGAACCAAGATGCAGAAACTAAAACATGTGTATCAGCAAAACTATTGGGGATGTAGATATATAAGCACCCTTTTTTTTTCTTGTATAATAAGACCTGAATCACATAACTGCCTGGAGGAATTCTAACTTGTAGTCTTACCTTAATCAAAGCTTTCTTTGTCAACTTCTGGTTTATTTCAGGTCGATTTGTGATGTTTTTGGCACGACAGGCATAATCCAGAGTGCTTAGTGTTTCTTCTACATTGCAAAGTGCAGGAGAAATAGTGGCAATAATAGAGGTTTTGGTCCGACCTCCCAGAGAATCTTGAAGCAAACGTGTCAATTTGCTTTCTCTACGTTCAGAAAAAAAACAAAAAAAAACGTAGTCACTTATTCACTGCAAACAAAACAGTCGATACAATAACAAAATTACATTATATTAAATTTATCCCACGAAAACACACGTATATTTCAAATTTAATCCAAAGCTTGAACTCTATCATCACAAACAAAATATTCATTCATGGATACAATGTTCTAAGTATGTGACTGATACAAATTCAGAACACCAAACTATGACCATAGTTCCTGGTCAGTGATTTTCCAGTTAAATATAACAAAATGTCATAATAATAAATCATATCCATTCATAATAACTACAAAATGATAAGGAAGTAATAACAATATAAAATAATAAAAACAAATTTAATTTTTTTGACTAACTTGGTAAAATTGACATTCCATTTTAAATTCATTATTATCTATTAATATATTGTTTATATCCACTAGAGGGAGCACATGCTTTGTATCAAGTAGAATTTCGTTAAGAGCCGAATATGGAATGGTAACACGAGCCTATGGGAACTTAATCTGTGTTTCAACAGTTCGTATTCATAAAACATTTTCCACCCAAAATAAATATTGAAACTGTCTATAGGGACTGATAATTTAAATTATGAACTATTTATCTAACAGATTTTAAGGTTGTCACCAACCATTCTGTTAACTGCAATGACAATAAATTTTAGAAATTCGTAACTATAAAACATAACTGAATAAGACATTGCTCCTGGTATGTATTTATCATTCAAACAAGTACAAAACTCCACATTTTTACAAGACATTGTACTACTTAATTACACAGTGGTAGAAAAAAAAAAAACTTTAAATGAGGTTTCCAGCCATAGGACAAATCAAAAATGTCTTGAATTTTATTTATTTTTCACATTATCAAAATTCAACATAAAGCTCTCTCATCACCCCTTAACAGAACCTATGCCACTCATTTGTTCTTCAGCCATACCAGACCAATACCTTAGTTAAGTGAAGATTATACCTCCATATAAACGTACAAATATGCATACATTACGCATATTTAATATCCAAAGGCTACTATAACCACCGTAAAAATTATGTAAAACCATTTCATAAAATCCCACAACTATTAGTAAATATCAAATTTTCCTGCCTTAATACCAAATGGACTAACTTTTCCTTGATCTGGATTTTTTTCTTGCCCCTAAATTTTCTCTGACCATCGAAACCCCCCGGTCAAATAATACTGTTTACTACTTCTCTGCTTTGATCTTCAAATTTTAAATGCTTTGATAATTATTAGTCTTCGTTGCTTCTTTTAAAAACTTATAACATTCAAGAAATTATTTTTTTATTTTATATTGTATGACTAGTTTCAATCAACCTCACTACAAATGCTATTTTGGGGGGAACCAGTATCTCGACTGTGATGGATCACAACTCATCATTACCCTTACAAATCAACAACTTACCGATACATATATAACTTAACCTATCTGTATATGGCATTTGTAATGTCCTTTACTCACCACAAGTAACCCAAATTGAAGAATACGTAAAAACAATGCTTTATAAAATTGAAAAACAAGCCACTTAATTCAGTAAACCATGGCGTACGTGTACTTTATTCTAATCACACAGGCCTGTGATTGTTTTATCGTCTTGAAATTTTTACATGTTCTACAGTAATTCCTTTATGCTGAATTTAAAAATATCCATTTTTTCTCCATCATGTACAGATTTTTCACAAAACGTCACATGTAATTTTACATAAGTGAATCATTTTCATTGAAATCGGGTCACATTTTGTTATGTTTAAAATGTTGACAACCACTGGCTATAGATTTCTCTAGACCAATCACAACGTGAGAGTTTTATCTATCATTCCAGAACCCATGAGAAACACACCACTAGTATATAAACGGTTAACAGGCCACATGAAGTGTCACTTCTGGATAGTATTTGTTTGTGTGTGCACTTTGACATTATTTTTTTCTTTTCAATATTATTTATACATTGCTATTGCAACAAGAGGTTGTGTAAATGATCCAAACATATTATGTTATATTTGTGGTAAATTTGTTGTGAAGAAACAATGACAAAACATTACAGAATTAATCAAAAAAGCGTATTACAGGTATTTTGGAATAAAACTTGGGGATCAAGACAAATCAAATGCTCTGCATCAAGTTTGCACCATTTGTGTCGTAGAGTTGAGACAATGGACTAAAGGTAAGAAAAAATCTTTGCCTTTTGGAATTCCAATGGTCTGGCGTGAGCCTAGAAACCACGGAGATGACTGATATTTTTGCTCATGTAATGTGCAAGGCTACAACACTCGAAATAAAAACGAAATTTCTTATCAAACCTTCAATCTGCTATAAGACCTGTTGCTCATGAACCTGATGTACCTGCACCTACTCCATCTGAGACTCTTGTCTAATGTCAATGGAAATGATGATAGGGATTGTTTTCAACCTGAAATGTTTGGTGAACCACAACGTTTCACACAAGGTGAACTTAATGATTTCGTAAGAGATTTGGGCCTTTCAAAGGATTCTTCAGAGATTTTGAGATCCAGATGTCAGGCTAAGAGCTTATTTTCTCCAGGGGCATTGTTTTACTGGTACAGAAATCAAGAGAAAGTTTATACCATACATTTCACAAGAAGGTTCAGTGGTTAATTGCAACAATATTGCTGAATTAATACCAATGCTAGGAGCTGCAGTCTATGAACCAAGTGAGTGGCGATTGATTCCTCTAAAAGATGTCTAAAAGGTGTTCTCCTTCACAATGGTAACATATATGCAACTGTTCCTATTGCTCATTCGGTTCACTTGAAGGAAACGTATGAAGATCTCAAACTTCCTCTTAATAAGGTCAAATACAAAGAACATGGTTGGCTACTTTGTGGAGACATACAAGTTCTTTGTATGTTGTTGGGTCAACAATCCAGTTGTAGAAAGTTTCCATGTTTCATGTGTGAATTGGACAGCAGAGCATGAAATCAGCACTGGACAGAGAAACAATGGCCACGCAGAATCAGCCTAATACCAGGATTGAAACACATTGAAAGTGAAAGTTGGGTGACACAAAGAAAGTCTTATTACCTCCACTTCACATAAAACTGGACTTGATGAAACAACAAGGACCTAAATTACAAAAATATTATCACTAACATGCTCAATAAATTCAATGAGTAAGTTTGTAATATGAGCTTGAAAGTTCATTTCTTACATTCACATATTGATCATTTCCCTAAAAATCTCGGTGCTTTCAGCAAAGAACAAGAGGAGGGGTTTCATCAAAAGATCAAGGAAATGGAGATGAGGTATCATGATGGCTGATTACTGCCGTCATTAAAACGAGATGCTTCAGATGCATCACATAAAAGAAAGACCACAACGCATAGTTTTGAAGATGTAGATTTGACACACAAAAAAAATCTGGATGAATCAGGATATATATTCGTTTGACATCAATGTTCTTCCCTTTTCTTTGGTTTATTTGTATTTTGGTTAAAAAACATAATAATAAAATAAATGTTCATTGTGGTAAATGAAATAATAATTTAATCTAAGAAAGAGTTGTTTTTTTTCTTCCTGATTTGTAAAAAATCCTTATGTGATAGAAAAAAATTAATATTATTTTCGAAATCGGCATAACTGAATTATGGAAAATCCGTTACTAAAACCAAAAAACCTGCATATTTCAGCATACAAAAAAAAAAAGTGAATCATCTGAGAACGAGTTTAAAAAACTTGTGATCCCTTACCTGTAAGGAATGTGCGGAGTTTTCTCTACCAATGCTGTAATTACTCGTCCAAGTGTAAGAAGACTCTGATTAATATTTCCTAGGGGAGATAAAGGATTAGAGCTTCTTAAAAGTTTGTTTGTTGTTAAGCACAAAGCTACACAATGTACTATCCGTAACTAAATTTTTAGCATTATGAGCCCTCGGAGATACTTCTGAGCCACTAAGGGTACTTGTTAATAAAGCTTAATTAACTTCATCAAGTTTGTATTATTGTTTTAGTTTGTTTACTTGTAAAAATTAATTTTTGAACAGCAAAGTACTAAATGATAGCCATTATTATTAATATAGAAAAAAAATATTTAAATTTTAGCTACACATACCAGCTTCTCTAGCCCTTTTATCAACAGCCCCTGACCGACCAATATTCTCACTTCCCGCCAAGTCCACCTGATAAAAATGCATACTAATTATTTATTTGTACAGTCTGAAACAAATACAAAAGAAAAGGAAAAAAAATGAGCATCAACTATCCATAATGATCATGGATACATCTATTTTTAAAAACAGTCCAATAAAAAAAATAAATACTGTAAAGCCCGAAATATATTATTTAATGTTTGAACAACATTTGTTTCCAACAAAAGTGCATTTTCTATCCATTATTATTGTATGAGACAATTTTTTGTACATTTTTACCTAAAGAAATAAGAACACTATCAACGATAAATAGCATTAAATTGCTAGCCCTTTCACAAAAACCAAAAGATATTTTGTTCTTCATAGACTACATTTTGTTTTGTCTAATACACAGAAATTAGAACAAATGGCTTGCTAGCTTTAAAGCAAGGAAAATGAATTAGGCCCTTAAAAATAAAAAAAATCACAAAAATTACAATTATTCCGACTTACCAGATTTAATTTCCCAGTCTTTAACAGTTCTTCCCCATCAATCATATTCTCTTTGATATGAACGGTAATGGAAAATACAGTATGACTACGACTGGATGTAGCATTCATTAGAGTAGAGGCTGTTTGCCTTTTAGCGGCTCCTTTCTCGAGGATAAAATACACTTCTTCCCGAGAGTGAACTGTGATCTCCTCAAGGCCTTGAATGACGACAGATCCCTGAAAACAAGTTCATATCTTCTCCTTATCATCCAGTTTAGAAGACATTATAACAATGTTCTACTATAATTATTTAGTTAACCCTACACCAGCAAAAGAAAATCATTACGACATCTATAAATCAGTTATAAGATACCATGGGAATAACCAATGCTCTCTCTGTCTCACTTTACTCGAAATGTGCCACTTAGTAAGCTGATTGATTAAAGCTTGAATAGTGCTATTTAACAATTAACGTAACAAGGCCAGCTTTATGAAACAAGGTGCTTTGTGCAATGGAACATTTAAACCTTCAACCCTCTCAAAAAATTTTTCTAAATGCACCTATTTATTTTGTTTGTTTTTAGACACTGAAAAGAACTGGAACTTATGTCAGATCAGGTGACACCTTGAGGATATATCCTCCCTTATTTTGCCAATGGAATGACCATCAGTGATGCAAGTATTGCACGTACTCTGAGAGGATCAACATTATGGAATCTTGAGGACAATGTTAGGTTCTATTAGCTTGGAACAGATCTAGGGTAGAGAGTCAAATGTTTCCAGCGAAGTTACTGTATTTTCCTCCAGCTTATTCGTCACTTTGATTTTCTCTACTAAATAAACTTTACTTTCCATTTTGTTAAGACAGGGAACTCCGACTTACTCTGTAATACAATTTTCTGATTGAGCCTCTTATTACATGTGGATGTAACTTGAAAGGTAAATAAATCAGTAAAATCTAAGAATGTCACAGCTGGTCAGTTTTGAAATCCATCAAAAGCTTAGTCTATAGCAAACTTTCAAAATAGTAACACCACATGATAAACATTATGTTGTAGCTAATGAAGATTGTGTTTGCAACTGTCTTCAAAACAATTGTGTCTGGTTTTATCATTTCAGTGATCAGTTTGATTTATTACTCCCACAAATCTTATTGTACCACCCCTCCAGTCTAATAATTTTGAATTATCTGTCAGTCACCAGTTTTACCTAAAAGTCCCAATGGTAATAGATATTTCAGCTTGTAAATCCCCATTAAACTAGTTGTTAACAGCAAAATGATCAGGAATTCAGTTACAACATTAAAACAAGATGATATCTACGTAAATAAACCTAGTCCTTTCGTAGCCATAAAAGGTAGAATATGTCTTCTTACACTACAATTAAGCCGCATACCAGCAAAGTAAAGTCACAAAATACTAAACCTTTCTTGTTGCATCTTCAAAAAGTCGTAATTTTGAGGTGTCATCGTGGGGACTCAACAAGTCAAACAGCTCTTCATTGTATAGTTCAAGAAACGACACTCTAACCGTAAACTCCAAATCCTGATGCTTTAGCTCTTCAAACAACTGATGGAGTGTACGAGGAATGATACCAGCCTGAGGATCCTGGAAGGCAAATTAAAACTCTTTTTATAATTTAGATCCAGATAGGTCATTAGTAAACGAACTTTTTATGGGTAAATTAAGGCCAAAATGATCAAGCTATATGAAAAATAAATATTACTGAAATATTTATTTTTTGAAACAATTAACCATATAAATATTCAATAACAGTTACTATTTTTATTTCCCCCCAGTAGAACTTGAAACACTGCTTTCAAACTTATTTCATGTGATTTGCAACATATAAAATTTACAGTTCAAGATAATTTTTTTTTTTTTTAAATCATTACATGTTCTTCTCCATACAGAAGCAAAACTGCACATTTGAAAACCAAACTACTTTTCACAGACAAGTAATACAACATTTGAAAACAGTAGATTAAGGGAACACATTCAGAAGTGTGCATTAAATAGGAAGCAACTAATTGCATCATAATAATACACTGTGAGAAAAAAAAAACTAGCAAGATTAAATCTTGGACTCTATGCTTAGCTAATTCCACAACTCAATCATCAGCAGACACTGATTAAGAAAGATTACTAACTTCACTATTTTAGAATTTTTATCATTATAAGGATTTGTTGTTGTAGCGGTATAAATAACACGTACCCTGTCCCAGCTGAAATTGCCGGCAGATCTTTCTCCTTCCATCGTATATGTTTTACCTGTTCCTGTTTGGCCATACCTGCAAAAATGGACCTTATTTTCTTTAACTGACTAGCATTAAACACACATATAGAAGACCATTCTCACTCTGTGAAAACAATAGAAAAACAAATACATTAAAAAATAAATAAAACACTTTATTCACATAAGGACTTTTCACAGACCTAAGGGCAACACAGATTTCAAACAATGCACAATGTCTTTAAAACAATTGATCTAATGTTTCAAGGATTTTGTTCAAGTTCGTCATGACTGTCTTACAAATCAGGCGTTTGACAATTCAACGAAACTAATAAGTAAAGATTATGGTTTTATAGATTTGAAAACACGAGGTGCGTGAAAAGGTTGTTCACTACCTTAAAAACACCTCAGATTCACCACTTTTCTAGTTTAGCAAGCAACAGAAACACAACTAAAACTACGTTCCTGTTCTACTTCTTCGATCACAGGTCTTTTCTTGTCACACTATAAGCACTACCATCACAGTAATAATCATATTTTCAGCGAGTACAGTAATAATAAACCAAATGCTGGACTTCGTTCTATATTCAACAGTCACATTGAGAAAAATTGTTTTTTAATCATCTTCAAACATACTTTTTTTTTTGCTCTTCAAAAACGACATGGCATCAAATAAATAAGCACTTCAAACTTGGTCGGATTTCAGTAATTAATGGTTAAATATTGAAAAAAAAAGTATTAACTGTATCTCTTTATCCTTTTCTGATTTTAGTTTGACAACAATTTGAACTCTTTCTCGTTTAAGCCTAAAAATCACTAATGGGGGGGGGGGGGTCATGTGGATATTAATGATGCGTATTGTTCATCCATCGTGCTAAATATAATGCTTTAATCTCTTCTGAGAGGAGTAACAACTTATCTGTACCAAATCACTTTTAAGAATCTAAAACAAACTTGTAATGTAATGATAAGTGTTTCACATTTGTCAAAAATCACTAAAAAAACTTTAAACAGCAAACTCAATATAATAGTAAGACAATAGTTTATAGTACATTAATCAACTATTTTGCAAATGGTAAATGCTTTTGTAGTTTAATCTAAGAAAGATAAAAACATCTTTTTAAGAAAAATAAACCATTTGATTTTGCATCTATATTACCTTTGTAAGAGAAGATAGCTTTAGAAAAATTACACATTTATTACACTATATGTAAGATTTAATGCACGACAAGGTCTCAAATCTGAAACAATAAAAAACTGTAATACTCACGCAAAAACGGTACAGTTGTATCCCATTAAAACCTCCTCAATAAGAGGGCCAACAACCATTTTATATACATCAATCTAGAGAAAGAAGAAAAAACTACCAATGAAATTATTAGATCTGATAAACCATCTACATACTTACACATTTGTACATATCTAAGACTAACACGTCATGCGTATAACAAAATCATGTATATAGTTTAAAATAAAAACCCTACATAAAAGAACTATTTTAAACCAGAAAGACTTTGATTTCAGATTGTTATGAACACTTCAAATCTTAAATGTT